AGAAATAAATGTTTTTAGATTGCTGGTGTAGTGCGCAGAAAGGTACCAACTTTGCTCAGCTTCGGGAATTAATTTTATTAGAAGATTTAAAAAAAAATTGTACTCCTGAGTGTCTAGCAATGCATTTGAATGAACATGAAGTGATTCAGCTTCGTGAGACTTCAGTTTTGGCAGACGGGTATGTTTTTACTGCAGCCCCTGTGGTGTGTTCTGGTGAGCTGTCATTGAGACACGTTGCACAAAATTCTGGAAATAAATTAGTGACATTTCTTTTGTTAATGGATGCAAACAGGTACAGTGTATGATTATTGTAAGATACCTGGCTATTTTATTTTATAATGTAGAACACTGCAGAGAAAGGATCAGTCAGTGAAGAGTGCTGGAATTCTGCAAAAATCCAGGTCTTCAGAGACGACTTCTGAATCAGATAATGAGTCACCCCCTGAGGTGAGCTACAGTCCATTCATTCCGGATAGATTCATATCATATCCAGTCAGCTAAATAATTCTTGGAGAAAGCAGGCTGATCTCTCATTCAAAGCATTTATTTGAAGAGAAAGTGTGAAAAGATATTGCTGTCTTTGGTGCCATAAAATGCAGGCGTATTTAGAATACCACACTTTGCAATAACTTTATATTAAACAAACCTCCCACAACAGCTCTACATTACTTCCTGTAACACCAGAAGTTATGTCAAGATCTAGTGAACTGCCACTAGAGGTCCATTACAACAGAGGTGTGTGCCACTTGATCTTCCAGTGGAGTGTGGTATATCAGGTAGTAGTGCCAAGGCATTTTCATAACGAGGTGTTGCTCTTGACCATGGCCTTGGTCTTGCTGGTCACCTTGGTGTCAAAAAGATGTGTGATCGTGTTCTTCGGCTCTTTTTCTGGCCTTGAAAGCTGATGTGGTTACGTATTGTAGGTCTTGTCTACAATTTTAACACAGACTGTCTGTGATTATAATAATACAGGAACCATTTTCCCTCACAAGGTTTCCCTCAATTTCCTTCAAAGGATTAATAAACTATCTATCTAACCATTCTACATCATTTCAGCTCACTAAGTCCATGGGTCTGTGGTTATCACAGCATAGTAAACACCCCTTTTATGGCTTGGCTTGGTCTGAAATCTCACGATGCCCTTTTGTCAGTGTAATACCAGTGGAGGTAGATCATTTCTGTCATGCTTGCTTTGGAGATATTTTTCTCTACCACACTATGATATGAATTCTGCTTGTTTGTATGTTCTTGGAAACATTCGCCTCAACAGAGGAAGATCTTAAAAACACCCTAGCTTTGAGATTTGATCAATTCAAGGTTTTCAGTTTTATCTTAAATTCTGACATTATTCATAGGCATGAATAAGAATTAAAGAGAAATGTAATTATTCTGTACCTTGTTTTGATCATTTTAGGTTTCCCAGGATGTCTGCAAAAGCTGAAAGAACATCACAAAGCGAATGTAAAGAGGATGTTTGAATCTGTGTCTGAAGGAGTTTCTAATCCAGGAAAGGAGACACTTCTCAATGATATTTTTACCAATGTGTGGATAACTGAGGTTGCAATCCGACATGATGACAGGCTGTAAAAGCACAGTCTCCCAAATCGTTCCCTCACAGTTAGTGATATTTTCAAGTCGCTGCCGGGACAGGCAGAATCGATCAGAACTGTACTGACAAAGGGAATTGCTGGCTCTTGTAAAACACTCTGTGTGGAAAAAACGTCTTCTTGATTGGGCACACGGAACGGAGAACCAGGAATTTGATTTGATATATTATCTTCCATTCTGTGAATTGAATTTGTTCATGTCAGAAATTAGTTTGCTAGAACTCATCCAGTCTTTCTTCCCAGTGATGGTAAACTTGGGCGATGCTTTGGATTGTTGTAAAGTCCTGTTCGTCTTTGATGGATTGAATGAAAGCAGGTTTCCTTTGGATTTTGAAACAAATCGGAGATGTTCTGATGTAAAACAGCCCATGGCTGTTGATGTGTTATTAACCAGTCTCATTCAAGGAAGCCTTCTTGGTGAAGCCTCCATCCGGATAACCTTTAGACCAGCTGCAGCTCCCTCTAGAGCACTTCAGCAGAGCGACAGAGATACAAGGGTTTCAAGACGAGAAAAAGGAAGAGTACATCAGAAAGAAATGCAGATCTGGCTGACAGAATTATTTCAAATTTAAAGATGCAGAGAAGTCTTTACATTCTATGCCAAGTCCCTGTATTCTGTTGGATTGTGGTAAGTGTTCTTGAGCACACACAGGGAGAGACCTGTGAGGACCAGATGACAAGTCTGACAGCCATCTACACAAAGTTTATTGTTCTCTTGCTAAGGACCAAGAAAGAGAAAGCAGAAAATGTCCTCAGATCAAATTGAGAAGCAATTCTTAAACTGGGGAAGTTGGCGTTTGAACATTTAGACAAAAAGAGTGTTTTCTTTGACACAGATTTGAAAGACTGTGCCATTGATAGCACCAATTCCCTTTTTTTCCAGGGTATGCAAGGACATTTTTCAACAGAATTTAACTTTATTTCAAGGAAGAGTGTACACTTTTGTGCACCTCACAGTCCAAGAGTATTTTGCAGCTCTGTATATTTTCTTTTCTGAAAATCAAAATCTAAGCCTACCAAAGAAATAAGCTGTGTCTTTCTCCAGTGCTGGGAGCAGAAAATCGATATTCAGTCTGAATGCAGAACCCCTGGAACGGGCCGTCCAGAGCCGAAATGGCCACCTTGATCTCGTCGTCCGATTCCTTCTAGGAATGGGAATGGAGAAAACCCAAGCTCTTTTAAAAGGATTCCTATCCAGCACAGAAGATCACTCCAGTGACATCCAGAAAACAGTAGAACATATTAGGGATTAAGGAAACCTCCTCTGTGTAAAGATGCTTCAGTCTTTTATATTATTTAAGTGAGCTAAATTACAAGTCTTTGATGGATGCGTTTGATGCATTCCTATATTCCGGAAAACTTTCAGGACAAATCTTTACACCTTCACAGTGTTCAGAACTTGCCTATTTCTTTTCAGTTACAGAAA